CCAATTTGGAACGAACTGCCTTTGAACTTGAATTGTCCAATTTCTTACACCTATTGATTTCGGATCGAGCCCAAAACCTGGGCAACATCATAATATGGTGGGAGGTGTCATTTGGTTAATTTTGAGTGAAATCCGATCTCTAGAACTACCCAGAACTCCAACCACTGCAATCAGGAACGAACTGGCTTTGAACTTGAATTGTCCAATTTCTTACACCTATTGATTTCGGATCGAGCCCAAATCTTGGGCAACATCATAATATGGTGGGAGGAGTCATTTGGTTAGATTTGAGTGAAATCCGATCTCTAGAACTTTGGAATACGCCAACCACTCCGATTTGGAACGAATTGCCTTTGAACATAAATTGTCCAATTTCTTACACCTATTGATTTCGGATCGAGCCCAAAACTTGGGCAACATCAAAATATGGTTGGAGGATTCATTTGGTTAAGTTTGAGTGAAATCCGATCTCTTGAACTACCCAAAACACCAAACACTCCAATTAGGAACGAATTGCCTTTGAACATGAATTAACCAATATCTTACATCTATTGATTTCAGATCGAGCCCTAAACTTGGGCAACATCATAATATGGTGGGAGGAGTCATTTGGGCAAGTTTGAGTGAAATCCGATCTCTTGAACTACCCAAAACACCAACCACTCCAATTAGGAACGAACTGCCTTCGAACTTGAATTGTCCAATTTCTTACACCTATTGAATTCGGATCGAGCCCAAAACTTGGGCAACCTCATAATACGGTGGGAGGAGTCATTTGGTTAGTTTTGAGTGAAATCCGATCTCTAGAACTAGGGAATACACCAACCACTCCGATTAGGAACGAACTGCCTTTGAACTTGAATTGTCCAATTTCTTACACCTATTGATTTCGGATCAACTTGGGCAACATCATAATATGGTGGGAGGAGTCATTTGGTTAGTTTTGAGTGAAATCCGATCTCTAGAACTATGGAATACACCAACAACTCCGATTCGGAACGAACAGCCTTTGAACATAAATTGTCCAATTTCTTACACCTATTGATTTCGAATCGGGCCCAAAACTTGGGCAACGTTATAATATGGTGGGAGGAGTCATTTGGTTAAGTTTGAGTGAAATCCGATCTCTAGAACTACCCAAAACACCAACCACTCCAATTAGGAACGAATTGCCTTTGAACTTGAATTGACCAATTTCTTAGAGCTATTGATTTCGGATCGAGCCCAATACTTGGGCAACATCATAATATGGTGGGAGGAGTCATTTGGTTAGTTTTGAGTGAAATCCGATCTCTAGAACTATGGAATACACCAACAACTCCGATT